GTCCAATGTTCTTCAAACGTGGTTCGTATCTTGGGGAGAGGCTCTAGCAGCTCTAGCAGGTTAATAAAAGAGTGAGAGTTCCAGTTTCCCACCTCTAGAATACTGTTCTGGAGTGCCTGCAATGCATGCCACTGTTTTTTGTGGGACTACTGTGTGTTTAATGCCCGTTCCGGGCCGTTCCGGGGTGTTCCGGAGGCATTTTGGCCTAGAAAGTGTTAATAAAAGAGTTAGGGTTCCGATTTCCCACTCCTAGAGTACTGTTCTTGAGTGCCAGCAATGCATGCCACTGTTTTTTTGTGGGACTACTGTGTGTTTAATGCCCGTTCCGGGCCGTTCCGAACCGTTCTTGGGTGTTCCGGAGGCATTTTGGCCTAGGAAGGGTTAATAAAAGAGTGAGAGTTCCCGTTTCCCACTTCTAGAATACTGTTCTGGAGTGCCTGCAATGCATGCCACTGTTTTTGGCAGTACTATTGTGTGTTTAATGCCCGTTCCGGGGTGTTCCGGAGGCATTTTGGCCTAGGAAGGGTTAATAAAAGAGTGAGAGTTCCCATTTCCCACCTCTAGAATACTGTTCTTGAGTGCCTGTAATGCACGCAGCTGTTTTTTGCGGTACTACTGTGGGTTTAATGCCCGTTCCGGGCCGTTCCGAACCGTTCTTGGGTGTTCCGGAGACATATTGGCCTAGAAAGGGTTAATAAAAGAGTGGGAGTTCCAGTTTCCCACTCCTAGAATACTGTTCTGGAGTGCCTGCAACGCATGCCACTGTTTTTTGCGATACTATTGTGTGTTTAATGCCCATTCCGGGCCGTTCCGGGGTGTTCCGGAGGCATTTTGGCCTAGGAAGGGTTAATAAAAGAGTGGGAGTTCCAGTTTCCCACTCCTAGAATACTGTTCTGGAGTGCCTGCAACGCATGCCACTGTTTTTTGCGATACTATTGTGTGTTTAATGCCCATTCCGGGCCGTTCCGGCCCGTTCCGGCTTTTACCCTGTCCCGTGAAGAAAGCCATTCGGCTAACAGTGGCCTAGGGCCACTGTTTTTTGCGGTACTATTGTGTGTTTAATGCCCATTCCGGGCCGTTCCGGCCCGTTCCGGCTTTCGGCCCGTTCCGGCTTTTACCCTGTCCCGTGAAGAAAGCCATTCGGCTAACAGTGGCCTAGGGAGACAGGAATCTTGAGATGCAGCTAGTTGGGTCGTATATTCTCTCATGACCTGTAGTAGCCTGAATGAGTGTGAGTATGTCTGATGGGCGGAACCCATTCCCCACTATCCTCCCTTGGGTTATTGATTGTTAGTTCTGGCAAAGGTGTTTACCTGACCAGAAGCCATATCTTACCAATTAACCTGATCAAGGACTATTGCATACTGAGTGGTTACTCCAGGACCTGACAGATTGCCAGAACTACTATTCTCTCCGACCCAGCAACCCCCCTCCAGCTGGAATGAGGAACGGAGGCAGAGGCAACGAGGCAGACACCAGTACCGGCTCTGAGCCTGATGGGGCTGCCCCTGAGGAACACAAGAAGAAGTCCCACAAGTCAACCGGGACTAAGTGATCAATTCATTTGCATCCTGGTTCTATTGTAGAACACGTGGTGGGCAGTGATGATGGATGGCTTCGTCGAGAACTGCTCCAAAATCAGCAAGTGAGCAATCTCGAAGGTCAAACGTCCATAGACTTGGAAGAAGGTGGCGCACATCTTTTCCTCCTCCTCGATCTTGGAAGACTCAAGGAAAAACTCAAACCAGGAGATGTAAGGTTCCCAATCTTCCACGGTGGTGTCGGATGGGTTGAAGTGTCCTGGAGCGGCAGCCATGGTCCCGGGAGTGAGGGAATTTCCGGCAGACAGTGAACAGCTGGATGGCCAAGCAGGCACCATGCCTGATCAAGTGGCTACGGACTCTCCCGGCATCACGCCAGTGCCACAGCCTTCTGCCAGCGCTGCACCAACAACGTCGGACCAAGGTCCCTAGATCATGACCCCTCAGATAGAGCCGCAATGCTCAACCCGCAAATGACGCAAACCAGCATACGTAAGAGATTTTGTCTTTTAGGGGACTTTGGAACTTAGGGGGGAGGGGTGTTATGTATTGAGCCTGAGTCAGCCCTCTATGTATACTGGGAACTGGTTGAGCTTGCTACTATAGAACAATAGCTTGCCAGGATCCTGAAGTAGACCAATAGATAAGTAGTGTAATGTAAATAGCCTATCCGTGGGAGTGTGTGTGTGTGGGGTCGGGTGTTTGCATGCTTTATAATCAGGGCTCAAACCTTGCTCGGTGTCCTTGTTGTGTTCCTGAAATCACTAAATAAACTAGAGCTGGTCACTGCAATGCATCCAGAACTCAGTATTTAACAACAGCCTTGTGAATTAGTGGTTAAGCATTGCTTTGGAACAGAGACTCTTAGTTTCCCACGTGCCTGTTTAAACATACATGCTTCACCTATGAGTAGGATAAAACTCGGTAATAAAACCCATTTGAACACCTACATTTTAAAACATATAGTATTTTGATTTTATTAATGTCATGTCAACAATTTATATGTATTTTTGGTATATAATGTAATGGAACAATTCAGTTTATCTCACAGTATTTTATTTTACATAACAATTTTATCCAACCATTTTACAACTATGTGTAAAATGATTTCAGGGAGAGGCCCTCCTGAGTGTCCTGTCAATCAAAGAAGCTCAGCTGGTGGGCAGATGAGAGGCCTTTTCAGTGGCAGCCTGTTGGGATTCTGAGATTCGATGGTCGTTTTGCAAACACAAGAGCCACATTAGTAAAAGAAAAATATCTTTACTACAAAACAAAATAAAGCATGGGTAAGGTACTTTGGATAAAAGAAATTAAAAAAAAGGTTACATACTTGCAGTTACTTTCAGTACTAAATGCTAACAGCTACATCTTTCTATCTGTGTTGGCTTCTAGAGGGGAGCTTCCTCTCTCCTTCACACAAAGAGCCATAAACCTTGTGAATACATTAATGCTAGATCAAAGCATTTCACTTCGTTAGGAAAAACACCTCCCACAAACTTCCCCGCCGTTGAATACATTATGTAACGTAACATCCTGTTTCCTAACAAACAACACTTAACTCTGTAATGACTGAAGTGCAAGCAACTTGAAACTCCAACAACCCTTCTCAAGTTTCATTTCAGTCATGCTTTGGGTCAATTAGGTTCATCTTCTCACATAGGTTTGCGGTCCTGGCTGCGTTGAGTGGCTTGGTCAAAATGTCCGCGATCATTTCTTCAGTAGGACATCATTGAACTTCAACCAGTCCTTTCTTTTGTATATCTTTCACTAAAAGACATTTGATGGCAATGTGTCTGCTGCTTGTCTTTGTATTTTCACCTTTGCATATGTTTATACATGCCGCATTATCTTCAAACATGGGTATTGGCTTAGGTTCTTCTATGCCAAAGTCCTTTAGCATGTAGATGATCCATTCTAGCTCATTGCAGGCAGCTTGAGCCGACACACATTCTGCTTCAGCAGTTGATTGAGCGACAATTTGTTGCCTTTTGCTGACCCAGTGAATCACACTGTTTCCGTAGTAGAATAAGTATCCACTAGTTGATTTTCCATCTTCTTTCTTTTTCCCCCAGTTGGCGTCCATGTATTCAACTAGTCTTGGGTCATCAGAGGCTGAAATCAATAACTTTCGATCAGCTGTTTTCATGAGGTACCTGGCTAGCCTTTTCACAGCATTCCAGTCATGATTATTTGGTGAACTCGTCTTTCTGCTTAAGATTCCAACTGCAGTAGAGATGTCTGGTCGAGTAACTCGGCTTAGGTACAAGAGCTTTCCAATTGCTTCTCTGTATTCATGATTGTTCTCAAGTAGGTTTCCATCAGTCAGGTCTAGGTAAGATGATTCCATTGGTGTTTTAATGTTTCCATGTTTCTTTATGCCCATAGAGTCAACAAAGTCCATAATTTTGTGTTTCTGATCCAAGAGAAAACTTCCATCGTCCATTTTCTCAATTTGTATTCCAAGATAGTGTTTTATATCTCCCAGTTGTTTCACTTCCACATCTTTGTTTACTTCATCAGCTATTTCCTTGGTTTCTTCTTTGTCTTGACAGCACAAAATCAGATCATCCACGTAAGTAAGCATATATTGGTATTGTTTATTCTTGATCCTTGTAAACAAACAGGATTCAGCTTCTCCTTGTTTGAAGCCTTGCTTTTGTAATAACATAGTCAGTTTATCGTTCCATCCCTTTGCAGATTGTTTTAGTCCATAAAGATCCTTTTTAAGTCTACAGACAAGATCCTCTTTTCCTTCTTCTTGAAAACCGTCAGGTTGCTTCATGTAGATTTCCTCAGTTAATTCTGCATTAAGAAAAGCAGTTTTGATGTCCACGTGTTCCACATGCATGCCTCTTGAGGCTGCTATGCTTAAGAACATTCTGAAAGATGTGTGACTTAACACACGTGCGAAAGTATCGGTATAATCAAGTCCATATTTTTGTGTGTAGCCTTTTGCCACTAGACGTGCTTTGTATCTTTCCACACTACCATCAGGATTATATTTCACCTTGAGCACCCATTTGTTGTCGATAGCTTTTCTTCCAGGAAGTAACTTTGTAAGTGTCCAAGCTTGCTTCTCATGTAAGGATTTGATTTCATCATTCATTGCGTCCATCCATTTGTTTCTCTCTGGTGTAGGTAGTCTTTTTATG